GATATTTGGCTTAGAAAGAAAAATGGACCTATAATATTTAAAGTTCTAAAATTAAAATAATATACTAACAAACAAATATTTTTTTTGTATAGAAAGGAAAAGGAAAAGAAATGGAACAGAAGATAAAAGTTCTTAAAAAGTTAAATTTAGATGCTAATTATATAAAATGTAGATTATAAAAACTTTTGAAATACTTTCCACCCTCAGGTAACATTTTATATTTTTCGTGTAAAAGCTCATTGATTTCATAGAAATATTTAGATTGAAAAGAGGAAAAGATAAATTATTAAAATAGGTATGAGTTTAATTATAAACATCATATTAGTTCGCATCTAACTGAATGAAATAATAAATTTAATTACAAAAATTTCGAGGAAAATTAATAAAATTATCAATGAATTTAATTATAAGCATGCATATTAGTTCGCATCTAATTAGATAAAATATATTTAATTAGAGAAATTTCGGAATAAGATATAATTTAATTACTTTTTTTTTTTAATCTACTAGAAGGAAATTTGTTTACATATATGGTAAAATGCAAAATTTTATGCTGTTAAATTTAATTAGTTGAGCCATAAACTCGTTATATATTTTTTCAATAATTATTTGTCAGACAAAATAAAAAAATGTTTTTAGTAAGTGACCATGTTATTTAGCAAAATAAAATTTATAATTAGCATATTTAACACTGATACATATAAATTATATGTATTAACATATTAATATAAATATGTTTAAAGAAAAATTGTATTTAATTTCTCAACGCTCATCTGAAGGCATGATATAGCTAATTTTTTATATTTATGATTAATAGAACAAAGTACATTTAAAAAATAGGTAAAAAAATTAATAGGATAGAAATTTAAACTCATTTTTAATTTAACCTTATTGCAAATTTCTATGAAGCGGAAAAGTAACATGCTGTACACAAAACAATAAAGAAAATTGAATTTTAAATATCGCAATGAATAAAATATTATAAATATATCAAAGTTCGTATCTAAAATAATAAATTTAATTAAGAAAATCTTGAAATAAGATATAATTTAATTTTTTTTAATCTACTGTAAGGAAATTTGTTTATATATGATAAATTGCAAAATTTTACGTTGTGAAATTTAATTAGTGGAAGCCACGAACTCCTTTTATATTTTTTCAATAATTATTATTCAAACAATATAAAAAAGGCTTTTACCAAAATAAAATTTACAATTAGCGTATTTAACATTGATATATATATAAATTATATGAATTAACATATTAATAAAAATATATTCAAAGAAAAATTGTATTTAATTTCTCAACTCTCAACTGAAGGCCTGATATAGTTATTTTTGATATTTATTATTAATAGAGCAAAGTACAAATGAAAAAATTAGTAAAAAAATTATTGGGATAGAATTTTTAGAATATAAATTTAAACACATTTTTAATTCAATATTATTAAAATTATCTGTGAAGCTGAAAATTATTCATACTGTACACAAAACAACAGAAAGAAAAGGACTTTAAATATCACAATGATTAAAGTATTATAAATATATTATCTTTTAACTAACAATAGACAATATTGCATTAAATATTTGATAATTACAATGCTTTAAATATTCAGGAAGGTCTGCTGTGAAAAATATACAATAATTGTAATCATTAAATATTTTACTATATAAATATTAATTTACATTTAATTATGCATGTAAGAATATGAAAAGAAATATTTTTTTTTTATAAAATGCCATATGTATTATTTAAAGCTTTTAAGCAATAAATTAAAGAAATTTAAAATTCCTCTATTTTATTATTTATTCCAAAAATATTATTGAAAAAACTAATTTAAACCACTATAAAAAAAAGTTATCAAAAGCAAAAATATGCCTGCTATTTATAGCTTTATTAATAACAAACAAATTTCTAAAAGTCTTTTATAAAAGAAAAACGAATTTGTGTGCAATAATTTAATGGAATTAACTGCTGAAATGAAATAAATTACCATTTACCAAAATCATTCTTGGAAATCATATTTACATTTAAAACATGAGAAATTCCATCAGAAATGATTGTACCGAAAAAGATACATTTGTGGTTTTTAAAAGAGTCGTTACAATGACAAATATATTATTTGAAGTTTTTAAACAATAAATTAAAGAAATTTAAAATTCCTCTTTTGAATAATTTATTTCAAAAATATGTTTGAAAAACACTATTTTAAACCAATATAAAAGAAAATGTAATCAAAGGCAAAATATACCTGCAGTTAGATAATTTTATTAACAAATGAAAATTTCAAAAAGACTTTTTGCAAATGAAAAATGTATTTGTGTGCAATATTTTAATAGACTTAACTGCTGAAAGTTAAATAAATTACCATTTACCAAAATCATTCTTGGAAATCATATTTACATTTAAAACATGAGAAATTCCATCAGAAATGAATGTGTCGAAAAAGATATATTTGTGGTTTTTAAAAGAGTCGTTACAATGACAAATATATTATTTGAAGTTTTTAAACAATAAATTAAAGAAATTTAAAATTCCTCTTTTGAATAATTTATTTCAAAAATATGTTTGAAAAACACTATTTTAAACCAATATAAAAGAAAATGTAATCAAAAGCAAAATATGCCTGATGTTTGATAGCTTTATTAATAAATAAAAATTTCAAAAGACTTTTGCAAACGAAAAATGAAAAATGATCAAATGAAAAATGAATTTGTATGCAATATTTTAATAGAGTTAACAGCTAAAAGTTAAATAAATTACCATTTACCAAATCATTCTTGGAAATCATATTTACATTTAAAACATGAGAAATTCCATCAGAAATTAATGTGTCGAAAAAGATATATTTGTGGTTTTTAAAATAATATAATAAAATATTTTTTTATAAAATTTCAAAAGTATTATTTAAAGTTTTTAAACAATAAATTAAAGAAATTTAAAATTCCTCTATCGAATTATTTATTTCAAAAACATGATTGAAAAACACCAATTAAAACCAGTATAAAAGAAAATGTAATCAAAAGCAAAATATGCCTAATGTTTGATAATATTAATAAACAACAATTTCAAAAAGACTTTGCAAACGAAAAATGAAACGAATGATCAAATGAAAAATGAATTTGTATGCAATATTTTAATAGAGTTAACATCTGAAAGTTAAATAAATTACCATTTTCCAAAATCATTCTTGAAAATCATATTTACATTTAAACCATGAGAAATTCCATCAGAAAGGAATGTATCGAAAAAGATACATATGTGGTTTTTGAAAGAATCGCTACAATGCATCTGCAAACATTTCATTAGTTCAATGCATTTAATAATATGGAAATGCAAACGCTGCATTTAACGAATCTGAGATTTTTCTGAAGAGACATTTCTCAGCTATTGTACAGATAAAGAGTTTACCAAAGCCATTAAAATGTTTCGTTTCGCTTTGGTTTTTGATGAAAGATTATTTTATTGAATAATATTTGAACAGCGAGGTAAAAATAAAGGAAGTTAGAAAGTATTGGCCTTATCCTATTAGTATTTTCTATTTTTGAAACAAAAATTCAAAACTATTACACGTTAAATAACATTATTTTTTAAAAAAAATTTGAATGAATTTTTTTTTGTCTAAATAAAAGTTTTAGCAATGGTAGAATTTCAAATGAATTTTAAAGAAATGGAAATACTTTGTCCTAATACGTAAAACATAAAAAAAAGTGTTATGAATAAATTAAATTGCCAAGATATATTTCTGTAAAACATTTTTGTATCTTTGTATGTAAATCAGAAGAATAAAAAGTTACTAAATTTTATAAATTTTTTGGGTTAAATTTTATACAGGAAGAGTTTAAACTTTTAAAACTTTTTTTTAAACATATTTTGTTGTCTCTGAATAGTTTATTAACTTTACTTCTATTCAAAATGTTTATAAAATGAGGTTTTTGAAAATTCTATATTATTTTTTTAGTACTTGACTATTTTATGACTATTTTAACATATAATAATTTGTTAAAGAGAGTTTTTAAGACACAAAAACTTCATGAAAAAAAAATATGCATTCAAGCTTTAAAAGTACAAGCATAACCATTAAATATCTATCTACGTTTTAAAAAGTACCAGTATAATCATTAAATATCTATCTCCGTTTCCGCTTTATTGATTATTTGTAGCTAAAGGATTATATTGAATCACTACGATAATCTCAAAATCCTCCTTGACCAGCAAACCTTGACATCAACCTAAACGCCAAATTAACTTCAAATACCGTCTAAAGAGGGACTTTACCAATGAATTTTATTTAAATATATTGCAAATATTTATTTTTAAATGCCGCTTTTAAATCAATTATCTATAATTTGATAAAAAACTTATTATTTAAAAAATATTATAAATTCAATTAAATTCAAATAAAAGTATTTCTTCTCAAACAATCAGAAAACATTATTCGTATAAATAAAAATTACTTCTTCAAGATGTCTTTTCAATTTAATCTTCTATGTTATTTTATACTCAATTAATTAAGGGCAAAAAGTACATAGGAAGTTATCAAAATCTATGAAATTCAATAGCAAACATTTACACTATTGCGTTTTTAAAACAATGAATTCAGGAATAGTTTTACTTTCATCAATCAATCTTCTTGTGCAACCAAAACGCACATCAGAAATAAATGTTTGACTAAACATGACGAAAATGATTAGAATTAGAAATTATTAGACTTTAGAAAATATTTAAATATAATAAATTGAAAAAAATAAATTAAACCAATTTATAACATCATTAAAAGTATTCAGGAATTGTTATCAAAACACCTAAGCAAAGTATAATAAGGCATGGGCATTAAAGAAATAAACAAAGTCTCTTGTTAAAATACTGAAATCATATCAAATTTATTGTATTTCATTACATAATTTCTAGCAAATGAAACACTGCCTAAGATGTTTCCAATCCGTAAATTTACCATTAGCTATAATGGGTATATTACATTTACATTTCCAACGAAACCATTTGAATATACCGGTTCTCGTTAGATCACCGAAATAACATCATTGGGCGCGGTCAGTAGGTGGGTGACCACCTGGGAACACCGCGTGCCGTTGGCATTCACAAATGGGGACCGGAATGGCCGGAGTGTCTAGCTTCGGTGCCACAAAGGTTTTGTTCGAATCCCGGCGGTGCCATGGATGTTTGTAGTGGCTCGGAATCCAATTTAAGCCATAGGTTCCGGTCTCCTATGACTGTAAGAGCGTCACGGAGCCAAAGTCAGACGGGTGCTCCAAGACAACAGAAGCTGCTTCCTTTTCCCTTCAATCATGAGTACGTATGGGCTCGTCGGCTTGGCCAGCCAAGTGGGATAAAAAACAACAACAACAACATTTCGAAGAATTTGCGGAGATGGTAATCGTAGGTGGTATGTGATTGACCAAAAACCTTTCCTTTGTCATTTTCTTTTTTATAATATAGAGAGAATTAAAATTTTAAATCCCGGGTAATATTTTTAATCAATTTTATTGCAACCTGTTTTAATGCTTGACGATGAAATCGATCACCAGCAAGTTTATTGTAACATTATTTTGCAGGGCTGAGATAAATATTTCTAATAAATTAGATATCGAGATAGTTATTTTTGATAAATTAACATTTTGTGGCCATCGACAGAAATGTCCCTTTACTAAGGGTAGGACAAGATTAAATTTTCATTTGAGGATAAGATGAAAGATGAGATACGTTCCATGAACTGACCTTTGTAATAATAGAAGAATCTATTTACGTTTAAGAATGGATTTGAAGAATATTTTACATTGTTCTATAACCAGATTGTAGACAGTGATCTTCATTTGACAGCTACAGTTATCATTTCTATAATTATTCGAAAATTTTATTATGGGAACATTGGTCGTCGATGTTAACAACATGCGAGGACTTTCAGATGTAAATATATTTGCTCTTCAGAGTAGAGCTTCAGAGTATGAGACTTCCTCTTCTCATAATAGAGAAGACAGGAAATTCTCAAAATACAGTTGATGTGAAACATTGTCATAATATTTTTTTTTTAACGAAGTCTAATACAAAACTGTCAGAAAGATTTCGAAGCCATTAAAAACTAGTGGTACACACTATTGTTGGGCTAGAAAATAAACAATATCCTATATAATATGGTGATGAGTAAGTAAAAGAATTTCCCAGCTAAATTTTATTAGAAAATTTTCCAGGAATTCCTGAAATATTTCTTGTAATTCAAGATTAATTATTTTTATAAATGCATCAAAAAACTGTAAACACACTGAAAGAGATGAAAACTATAAATACTAAACTATAAATACAACATAAAAAGTTAAATATACTAAATAAAGTCATTAAAATTATAATTCATACTATCATGCACGTTTTAAATTCAAAATGTCTAAAAAATTGTTCCTAAAATCTTTAAAAGACCATTTTATACTTTTTCACCATCTTTAAACTCGTTTTCTATTTCTTTTAATTTTCTATGAAGAGAAATTTCCGTTACGAAAGGACAATTGGAACAGTGTTTCCTCCTACGCACTACAAGAACGTTCGTGGCGTTCAGGAGAGATGATCAGTAGCTATCGAGGCTCTCACCCGAGAGGAAGTACAGCGCAACCAGCGCTGCCACTGAGAAACGTTTAGTACAGAGCAACACGTGTTTCTGCTGAGAAACGATTAGTTTACAGTTTCTAATTTCGAGAGGAAATATATTAAAAGCAACCCTGAGTAGCAGTTGGCCTACAGACTCTCCCCCAGAGAAGTATCCGCCGTGCTTCCCACTCAATCGTGAGTATCGGGTTTCCAGATTAGTAGTGAAATCCTTCTACGAATCTATACTTTGTTTTTAAATAAGTTAAATATTGTATATCTCTAATTGTATGTGTGTGAGGTCTGTGCTTATATAAATAAAGCTGTGAGTTCTCAAAGTGTCTCAGGTGTCAACCTCAGTCACAATCCAGCTGCCCAACCGACAGCACTACACAATACATTTCTAAATATAAAGAATTGAAAAATGAAAAACAGTAAGGTAAAATTTTTATTTGTGGTTTTTAAACACAATAAATCTAAGCTGGAGAAACGATATATCAGGCATCTAGTTTTATCAAATACACATAGACCCTGGAACATTATAAATTTTCAATTCCTTGAGATTTATGCCAGATTTTGGTAATATTTATGGCTGATAGCCTAAAATGTATTTTTATATGATTATGTTTATGCTATTATAAATTGAGCATTTATTATATTTATTTATAATAAATTATTTTATATAAATTTATTTATCTTTATTTATTTTATCTTATTTTTTTTTTTTTAATATTCTCAATTATTATTCCCATGAGAAATTTAACAATATTATTTTTAACAACAATATTTTTAATAATAAATTGTTTTACCTTTTAACAATGCATCAAAAATTATTTCACATTTCTACAAGAAATTATAAACATAATTAATCTTTTAACAATATATCAAAAAATATTTCATCTTTCTAAAATAAATTATAAAATTATTTAATCGTTTAACAATGTGCTACAAAATATTTAATTTTTTCTAAAAGAAATTATAAAATTAGTTAATCTTTTAAAAATATGTGAAAAAAATATTTCATATTTACAAAAAAATTATAAAATTAGTTAATCTTTCAAGAGTATATCAAAAAGTATTTCATGTTTCTCAAAGAAATTATAAAAATTAATCTTTTAACAATATGTCAAAAAATATTTCTTATTTCTAAAAGAAATTATAAATTTTTTTTGCGCTTATTTAAACTCATTTAATGCTGAATATATTTGTTTAACATCAAATTACTCAAAGACATTTAATTAATAAAGGGCATTAATAAAATTTGTCCCAAGAAAATAATTTCTGTGTATTAAAAGTTATTTAATTCTTGAATAAAAAAATTAAAAAAAAATAATTAAAAGATTTATTTAAGAAAATACCGAAACGTTTAGCCTATTAATAGAAATAAATAACATTATACTTTTAGAAAATAAAAACAAACTAAAATTAATATTATTTATTGTGAAGGAATTATATTTAATTTAAAAACTGACTAACATTGCCAAGGGTCATTAAAATGTAGAAAACTTTAAATTACATAATTCAAAAACAGAATTCACTCCAAATTATAGCATTATCTGATTTTCAAATTAAAATATTTGCATTAATCGGTCCTCTCATTAACATCCTAAGAAAGTAACACCTTACATTGTTAAATATCCCTTAATACCGGAAAGATCTACACTTTTTTTCCCTATCCATTTATTTTTTTCCCCCAAAAACCATTACTTCAAATGGAATTTAAAGAAGCAGAAATGTATAACAAATGCTTCTCATCTATTTAATTTTTCTTCTCGAAAAAGTAAATGAAATCAAGCGTAAATTATTCTACTAGATTGAGTTTGTAATCGAATATTTTTAAGGACCTGATAGCAAATGGGGGATAAAAACAAAAATTTCTTAATTTAACCCGTTAATTAACGAATAGTTGAGAAGAAAAGGGGAAAAATCGAAATGCTCTAGCGCGAGGCTCTAGTGCGATGCAGTAGAAAACAAGGGGAAAAAAAAAAATTCCCTGTAAAAAGAAAATGGTGTCTTGTAATGGTTTATGTTAATGAGTTCAAGTCTAAATTTCTTAGGGATTTTTTTTTCCCCATGAAGGTTTCTGCTCAAGCGTGCATTGAGAAATCTCAGCCTATTTTTGCTTCGTTATAGATTTCACTTTGAAATGTTTAAAATCACGACAGTTAGATGGTTTTTGCTGAACGGTGTTTGTTTTCTTTTTTTTTATCTTCTTCTTCTTTTTCTTGGACTGCTTTTCCGGGTAATTTGCCATGATTGTTTTCGCGTTTCGACTACTTAATTATGTATTGTAAGTAAAAAAGCTAAAAATAGCTGGTTTTAATTAAGTTACAGGACTGATAATGTTATAAATATTAAATCAGTTTGGAAGAAAATAATTGAGTTTCTTAGCGTTTTCGCTAAATTGCTCGAAATGAATTTGTTTCTTTCTTATAATTATACTGATTTTTTTTTTTTTGTTCTATAAATAGGGTTTTTTTTTTGTATAGTATCCAATTTAGGTAAACTTTCAAAAAGGTATTTTTTCTGAAACGTAAAAAAAAAAAAAAAAGATAATGTTTGGAAGTTTTGTGATAAATTTTGAATATTTTTTTTTGGAAATTGCATTAATATTTCTATGCCGTAGCAATGTTTATGTTTCTCATTTGATGTGAAAGTTATCTAAAATATTTTATGGATAAATTAATTTAATAATAAAATTTAAATTAATTTTTAAAAAATATTGAAAATATTTGAAGATTTTTATGTATTGGAAAACAACTAATTACACGCATAATAACACATAACATACAGATACATCATACGGCTTATAATCGTTTTATTTCCCATGTTAATTTCGCTTATAAAATCTCTATAATTTTTTTGTGTAATTCCTTAATTTATGAATTACTTGTAATATCGTATTATCTGAATATTGATAAGGACACATCTAATGTCTTAATCGATATTCAAATAGAATCTTTTATATTAAATAGAATTCAGATAGAATCTTTCATATAAAATTGATATTTAGAGAGAATTGATATTCACATAGGATCTTTCAAAAATAATTGATATTCAGATATAATCTTTGAAAAATAAATTATATTTAGATAGAATATTTCAGATAAAATTGGTATTCATATAAAATTGATAAAAGTTAGAATTTTCAGATAGAATTGATATTCAGAATCTTTCACATAAAATTGTTACTCAGATAGAATCTTATGAAAATATGAAAAATACTTTTCATTTCACTGTGACATTTTTTTTCGCGATAAATCTGTTAGTTTTGTTGGGAAAGCACAACTAAGCAAACTCACACACAAAGATATAGAAGATTCAAAATTTAAGTTTAGATACTTATTATTTATAGAAAGATGTAAAATTTAATAGATTTTTCTGTAAATAAGCGCATGCACACAAAGGTATATTTCTGGTATATTTGGTATATTTTCTGTAAATAAACGTATGCACAGAAAATATATTAAAAAATAGCTGATGAATTGCTTCAACAATAGGA